CTACTGAATTGGAAGAAAGAGTCTTTTTCACCCTCCCAGTTTTTGTGTTGCTAAGCTTGTTTACTGGGACACTGGAGAGGTAGGACACAGATGCAAACCACCTCTGTCCACACTGAAGTCTAATTTTTAGGTCAATATTTTAATGCTTTCACTGCTGAATGTTTTAGCAGACATAGCCTTAAGGATTGTAGACTGAGTTTGGAAAGGGGCGGGGGAAGAGAAAGAGCAGCTTTCCATTTCTTTCCTTATGATTTTTTAAAGACACTAGAACAAACTACATGTGAGAAACCCTTAAAACATAATCTTTAATAATGGTTTAAGTTTAGATTTTCCTGTTTCGAAGTTTTTCTGCTTACGTTTCACATTCTAAAAAGTAATTACTGATAAATAAACGCCACACTGTAGTTGTACTGCCCGCATAGCAGCAATAAAGTCAATTTTCACTCTGTCTGCTGCACAGTGATAATATTCAAAAGTTATTTTTCAGATATTGCTGTTCTACTTTGGCAGAAGGTGGTGTACCCATATTTCTTGTGAGAAAGCATACTTTTATGCAGAAGAAAGAAAAAACTTGTATCCCGTAATAGCTTTGGTAAAATAGTCAAAAGAAAAATATATGATGCCAGTAATTTTCAATGTATAATACCTTACAATACACTTCAACACCCTCTTCCAATCACACTACATTTTGCAGAATGTATAGATTTTTGGCTTGAAGTATCTTATGAAGGTTTCTTAGGATCATTTAGTATATCACAAGGCAAATTCAGAGTCAGTATAATCAATAAGGAAGCACAGTATCTACACCTATCGCATCAAGGTTAAGCAAATGGAAAGGGTATTCAAAATATATAACCAAAATATCCCACAAAGGGTAAAATTCACATCTGTGCAAGGGGACAAGGGTTATGTTCCACTCAAGTCCTTTAATACAAGATAAAGTTTATACAAAAGGAAAGTTTCTGTGTCGGTCCTACTACAACTTGCAAAGTTCTATTATCAGTTACAGCTAAAATAAGATTGGGCAAGTATTTTGGAATTTAATGCATGCGCTTTTTGAGATATTTAAGTGGGGAAACTATGAAGGTATTTATCCTATTATTAACTGACAAATGGTCTTATATTTCTGAATGTCTGAGTTCCCTCTCAGTTCTTTGGCATATCACTAATTTTATGCATGTAGCCTCTTGAATGCCCCTGAAATACAAACAAAACAGCAGCAGCTAAGTAGTCAGCCACATTCACTGTACTTAATGCACGAGGTCATGTTTTAAGTTTGGGTCCTGGTGCTGATATTTACACATATAAAATTGCTAATTGTATGTCTGGATGCTGGTTTGAACAGCAAATACAGAACTGGAAACTCAAGTTTACCTACCGTTTCAACACTAGCTTTAGAGTAGAGTATCAGTGATTTTAAATACCGTATAAAATAGCGTACTGGCTGTTATCTCTAACTTTATGTTTGATATCCTCTTAGCACTATACTTCCCTAGGGATTCACTGTACTTGGAACCATCAATAAAAAAACACTTGTGTAAGATGAAATCTCAGCTTACTGAAGGTAATAGCAAAACTCCCACTGACTTCAGCAGAGCCAATACTTCTGACTTTATGTTTTTAAGCTAAACTTGCTAGCTTGCTACATTGCAGTGGTTTGCACAGTGCATCTCACTTCCCTTGAGGATTATAGGAGACTTGATTACCAAGAGGAGTTATCTGCACTGATCCAGCCACACAGGCTGTGACAGGTTATCGATAGCTAGCACTATAGCCTAAGCATCACAGATTACAAATAAATGTTCCATTTTCTGTACATGCTCTCCCTGTTTGCTGGGAGTTCACTGTAAACTTCTCTTGGTTTCTAGTGGATTCTGACATATGAGTAAGTGCAAAGTGATGTTTATTATTATGGTTTATCGGTTTGTTTTGTTTTATTTTGCTATTGCTCTTTGAAATAACAGCATTGCTAATGATTTTGGGTATGTTAGGAATAAATGTTGTTTCTACAATGTATAAGCATGGAAACGTTTAATTTATATACTCTCATTTAGCGAAGCCCAGTGTAAAACAGTAATACTTAAAAGAAAAACATAGCATCAAAATGGTGTGATAAATATACATACATATATATATATATATATATATCCTTTTTTTTTTTAATTCTAGAAGTTATTTCCAACCAGTTTATCATAACTTTTTGGTCCATTTTAGTGGCCAAATAACTATGGTGACAACAATATATCTTTAAACTAAACAAAAATTAAAACTTAGCCTAAACATTCTGAACATATGCTGACCAACAATATACTATAAATTAAAATCTTCCATGGTATGTATCTCAGTGCTGTATGTAACATATAACTTATGCTCACTGCTGTTCTATCAATAGTAGTCAAAAAGAACTCACAAAATAGTTAAGTAAATTCTAGAAAACTATATTCTATTACTAGTGCAACTTAAAACTTCAGCAATAAAGGTGCATGGCTGTACATGTCAGTGTAGCTAACACTATTACAATTGCAATGGCAGGTCAGCAATATAGCGTCTTCTGTGATACCCACTTTTTATTTCCTGTTTTCACAACAGGATGCTATCACCAAAGACAGGCATTTCTTTTCAGGATACTGTCTTCCCCAGAGTGGCAGTCTCTAGTGCTTAACAGAAAAGAGTTGGAGAAAAAACTGTTACCGGGGCTGATTGTCTTCTGTATCCTTCACAGAACTGAATTGACCTCTTTCGGAATAGCTAATTGAGGAACTGTTTTTACATGGACTGTGACAAATGTAGAAAGGAAGCAGAAGATGGTAACTTGAACTTTAGCTCATATTCCCTGGATTTTAATTGCTCTGATAAATAGCAATAAAAATGTCATACAAAGCAACGGATGACAAAACCCTGAAGTTATGAAAAAAAAGCCAACCAAACTTAGTTCATGTAGAGAGGGGTGTAACCAATTAACCTGTAACCAGCCAACTTTGGTGATCTTTGTCTTTGACAACTAGGAAGTTCAAAATAAATTTTGATCCTCAATTAAGCTCTTAAACTCATAGAATTCAGCATTCGTCATTATCATAGATGCAACCTGAAACGGAAATAAAATGCAAACATTTTAGTGTTCCGTAATACTTTGATTCAAGCATGAAGTTATTCGTTATAATTGAACTTAGTATTGTTTGAAATTGCCAACGTACCATCACCAATATCATCATAAATCTCTCCATCACTGTAAAAAAGAAAGAGGGAAAAAATGTATTTAAAAATAATTTAAATTTAATTAATTAATTTTTCTATTTACATGCAGACATAAAATGAGTAGCATGGTTTAGATATGTATCAAGTAGTTTATCTGCAAATTAGGAAAATGCCAGCTTCACCCACAGGTTTTAGCTATATCTTAGCTATATTATAATTCAGAGGACTGAGTAAGATGGCCAGATCAAAGAAATTTCAGTGAAGGGTAAAGCTGGATACATTTCTTTCTAAACTGATAGGCTTCCTTTGTCAATAGAATTTAAAAATACATGTATCTTTTTTTTCCACTGGCTGTTTTAACCAACTCATAGATACATTTCGGCTAAAAATGAACTTCTTACTGACTTTTTAAATCAAAATCAGAAAAGATGAGTGAAGAAAATCAGTATATCCTTGCAATGCTTTTTCATTCTTATTCTTGGCAATGTGATAATGTGGTTTTGAAAGAACAGCTTTCTAGATAATGAATTTAGGTAATGTCTATAAATGATATAGGCACCGCGAGTACTAGGAATTTTCAAAACGTGTCACTTAGATACATGAATACTCCCATGGAATCCAATAACGCTATTTATGTATGTTAAGCACTTATGTAAATGTTTGCAGGCCTGAATTCTTAAATTGACATCTGATTTAATATTTAAAAGCCTAACCCAAAGCCCATTGAAGGAAACAGAAAGGCTTCGTCTGACGAGGGTTCTGGATTAGATCCTAAACGCTGAACTCCACGCAATTATTCTGAGTAACACCAAATCTGCTCAATTCCAATAACATTGAAATAGAAACAAACCTAAAGAAAAATTGGTTCATTTTAGTTAAACATTTGAAATTGGCCTCAATGCACTTAGTTACATTAATGTGCAGTTTAGTAACAGATTGCAGTCCCAATAATATTCAACTCGGGTCATTTTTCATGGCTGAAACCAGAGTTTATGAGTAAGTAATGAGGAATGGAGCCCTAGATCATTTCTAGTGCACATATATGTGACTAACTCTTGAGAAAGCTGAACTCCATAAAAATATTTGGATTTACAGGACTAGTATCACACACTAAAATAATTAAATTTCACTTTTACGTAACAAACAGGTTTGAACAAAACTGAATATTAAAGCACATTTTTCAAAACTATCACTTAGTACTTACTTCTCAACTAAATTGCTTCTCAGAACATAGCCATCTGTAAAATTGAAATATATACATATTTAAGTTATTTCTTGTGTTGCTAGAGCTAGTGATATACAGATTTTTCTCTTTTAAGCATTTCAGATAGGAAAATATATAGAGGGATAGTAATGCAAATGGAAAATTTTGCTATCATATAGAATCTGAAGAAGTATGTGCAATTTCTTAATGGGACAGAAATTTCATTCCAGATTTATATATCAGTAAATTACCATTAACTGTAATTGCTTAACATTTTTTAATTGTATCATATTGATAAATCTTTTTTACATAAAAATATGGAAATATATTACAATAGCTGCTCACCAGTGAATTAATCTATCATTCTGTTGCATTACTGATGGAGTCAGATAAAACTACACATACTCTTCTGCAACATATTTAATCCCTTGAAAAAATCACTTGCTTTCTTTGGTAAAAACATCTACTGATATACTTGTCGATTGGCATAACATACATAACCAAAGTGAAACGCATAGCAATAATTACATATTTGTAGGTAAACATTAGTATGTTTGTACTGACGAAACAGTACGGTTTTAGAGGGGAAATGTCATCTTTCATTAGATTTGAAATTACCATATGAATTTCCTTCTTTTATTGAGTTGCAGGCTTACATAGTCACACTAAAATGCTGCTTTTTCAAAGATTCATGTACTCTACCATGTTCGCAGGCTTTAGAATGAATTAGTCAGCTTTACTTGTAAAATTCCTTTGCTTTCTTTGCATGGAGCTGCTACACGTACTTAGAGGAACCATCATACCACTTTTCTGCTAGTATTTCTGGTGGTGATATTTCAGGTCTATTTATATCAACCTCCAGGTCTTACTATTTTACCTAAAGGAATTCCTGCCTTATTTGCTTGAACTTTTATTTTCTGACACACAAGATATGAAAGTATCCTTAAAAAAACCCACACACAATAACGTCTAGCTAAAGAATCTCATATTTCGTATAAAGCCATATTGACAATCCATTGCTAATTTTATTTTAACTGAAATCGCCCTTCATAAGAAGAGCTGTAACTTTATTACTTTCCCTTGCAAATTAGTATCAAACACAATAACCTAGTACTATGTGCCCAAAATTCATTTGCTGAATGTGGCAGATGTTTTGACATATAAAAACACCCCTAGGATTCCTACATGGAATAGTGGAAAAGTTATCTGACAAGACTAATATCCTGAATAATTCTGCAAATAGTAATAAGTAACTATTTCTTATATAGAACTTTTCTCTGTAAAGAAACATTTATATAATTCATTTTAAGTTGGTGTAGTTCCATCTTAAAATATAAGTAGATATCACATATTGCTATAAACCTCAAATATAAATAGTTTTCTCCAGAATATGCTATACTGATTGCCCACCTCATATAACATAGAACAAATTAGTGAATTGCTCTGTGAGGGCCTTAAGACATTAAAATCAATGCATTGTTAAAGAAATGTCTCTCTTGTGTTAGAGCTGAATGTAGCCTGAAAAGCATTAGTTTCGTATAAGAATATTTTATTTGACACTAATCTGCTTTTACTTCAGTTTATGACGTAACAGTTAAATGAATGCAATCAGAGTGAAACATAACCTTCTTAACCCTCTATATAAACCAATGTGTGTTAGGTAAAGTCTCTGTAAGCTCAATAATACTGTTTTAAATTAGTCATAAAACCATAATATCGTCTCTGTAAGAAAGCTAACAATTAAATTACCTGTTTTCTTATTTAGAACGAAAACTTAAAATTGTTACAGGCATCCTTCGGAAAAAAAGATACAAAATCTGGTTGCTAAGAAAATGGAAACACATTTCTATGCATTTAATATTTGATTGCATCTATGTTAGATAAAATAGATGCTTAATTTGCCTGTATTCATGAAGATTTGATACTTAAAAAAATTCTACTACAGTTTTTGCCTATCAAGATTGTTAAACTACAAGTAATCATGAATAGTCCAAAGAACTCAAAGCTGCAGATTTTCAGTCATCTGTGCATGTAGTTTCTCAGGCTAAATGCAAGTCACTACACTTAGGCTCTTGTCTATTCAGCATATTCTTTTCCTAGTTCTCTTTCCTTGGACTTCAACTGGGATAAAAGCATGGAAATGCATTTTTTTTTAAATACATCATCTTTTAAAAATTCTCTTTAAGCGGAGTCCAATAATTTACAGGACTCCTAAAGTCTCAGTGGGAGTCATTTAAAATCACTCGGCCAATCTCATCTGCTCTGTTTTTTCTTTTCATTTTCGCATGTAAATCTACATGAAAGGAAGATTTCTTCAGTTGTAGTCATGGTATACAAACATAATGTGCTTGCAAACGAAACATACACAGTAAACGACAGTTCTTAAAATATTGCAAAGGTTAACCTTGAGGCAGGAGCCTCAAGGCTAGATTCTCCTGTGGGTCCCTAGCCCCTAGATATGTTGCAGAGAGCCTCTGCCTGCTCTGCACTCTTTCAGATTCTTTCCTAATCAGGAAAAAGGCTCCAAGCTTACATGTCCAAAGTTTTATCTAGTTCATTCATATTTGTGTGGCTTCCATAATAGCGGAATATGGGAGCAGGTCAGCAAACTCAAGTCTCGGCTACTTAACATAACTGAAAGCTATGAAGCATCATACCAACAGCTTTCTGGTAGTGTAAAGGAGGCTTGGGGAGGACACAGCTTACATTTTCAGGCACTGACATTCATTCACATCCTCATGTTTAAGCAAAGTCCATGAAAGTGAATTAAAAGATCTTCTGTATCTCGAAAGATATATGGGTCTGACCAAGGCAAAAGGAACAAGGGATTTGAGAGTAAACGAGAATCAGTTCCTTGTGTCATTTTAGTAATTTCAGATCATTTTGTAACTGTAAAAGTAATTCATAGCAGCATATGTTCCTAAGCTCATCAGTCCTTGATCAGCAAGCTAGGAGGACGTTATAACATATTTCTTAATTTTGTTTAACTACCAGTAAGGGCATAAAAGCTATGAAAGTATATCGTAAGTTGAAGGATGAATGGGAGAATTCATGTGCAAGAAAGTAACAAAAATATCTTTAATTGTTGTTTTTCAGTCTATCCGGTCTTCAAAAAGTTAAACTATACCTTTAAGAGATGAGTATACTCCAGCTACAGCAAATAACCAAAACTGTCAGGTACTTAAGTACAGTAGGATTTGAGCCTTACTAATTAATGTGAAACTTGACAGAGATCTATTCAAAGTTTTTCAGGGAGGGTATTTTTATTTATATTGCTCTTTTATGCATAGCAAAGCAGTAGGTTCTGTCACTGTTTGAAAGGCTTTGAAGACTACCGTGAGGAAAACAAACAACATGAACTACTTTCTACTTTGTTGTTAGTAGCTTAATTCAAAAAGCGTGGCACTGAAAGGTGCTCTTTGGGAAGAGGCTGCACTAGGTCCATCTATATTTTGAAAAACCTACGTGTGGTTACGCAAGAAAATCTTCTGCATCCTGCAGGCCTGCCAGGAGGAAGGCTATACTCCTATAGCCTATAACAGATGAGTACACAGGGGAAAATAATAATAGAAAGGTTTCTAAATCCACTTCAGAGGTATATGGCATTGGACTGCCTTCTAGTTAGGTCAGCGGTAAACAATGACGATGAGTTGTTTACTTAGAAAGCTGTTGCTTCGAACTTACTCTATTCCTACACATAGTGAGTTCTTATTGGGAGATTTGGAAAGTATTGTAGCAGAAGCATATTAAGAAATCAAAACCAACAGTAGATGGTGCAGACTTCTCCAAAGAATGCAGCAACTTCTGCCAATGCACACCCTGGCCAAAGCTTCCAAACAAACACTGGAAGGACGTGTAGCTGCAGCTGCTGCCTTGACAGCTCCCAAAGCAGGCAGGCACGCCAGTGAGCATATATGCCTTGGAGCTGCTGGGGGCTGGGGAAGACTCCTTCTCCTCCCGAGCCTGTTGAAAAGATTAAACTCCACTTCTGGCAATCCAAAGTAAGAGCTAATAAGGAAACTGCCACTGATTTTCTCTTGGCTGAAATCAACCAGCAAGTGCTTCCAAGAGGTGCAGCAAGGATTCTGCTGCTTTCCTAGATTGTGTGTGGTATCATAGCTATACCCTGCACGGCAATTAGTGAGAGACAGAACCAGCAAGAAACATCTGCTAATCTTAGCTGATGCAAAGCAAGATTTACATAAATAATTTGTCCTTTCACTCACATTTGGTCTGTCTTGTCTATGTGAGTTGCAAACTTTGTAAGGTAAGGCACTCTAACACACTCTAGGAGCTACTTTAAGTAATAATAATAATAAAATAACAACAATCTAGCTATTGTCAACCGTCAGGCAAGGAAAAAGACATATATCAGGCTCTGAGCATGACAGGGAAGAGGATTTTCTTCTGCCTCAAGTTATGTGCTCAACAATCATTCTCTGACAGCTTAATTTATGGCACATGCATTCTGTACTACAGGTTTTAATAAAACTTACATTTCCCTTCTTCATTCCTGCACAGGACCTTGGTATCATCTGTATTTTCTATAATTTCAAGACATTCCCCTGGTTTAACCTGTAAGTCTTTAGATCCCCATCTTCTCTGGGGCAAATCCTGGACTGTGGTGGTAGAGTAAAGAACTCTAATTTCACCTTCAAACTGTAAAAATAAAATAAAGCATGTTTTGTAACAATATACTCCCTTTTACTGCTAACTTTCTGAAAGTTGGGTAAATAATTGTTTATTCTATCTAGTGTCTGTGCCCGTTCTTGCCATTTGAAGAGCTAAACCCCTTGCAAAGGTATAAATTGCAGGTTCTATTCAACTAAGACAGTTCCAGGTTATTTATCAGATTGTTGATGAATTACAAGTGAAAAAGTGGCATATAGTCAAAGAAGTTGTATGTTGGAAATCTTTTTCGATTCTAAGTGTGAGTATCTCTCACACAAATAGACAAATGCATGGTTGTATATACAACATGCATACTTGAATTCACTGCTGCTTTAGAAAGCCTCAGACTGGCATCTTTCAAGAGCAAAATTCTCCTTCCATCAAATGTAAACTATCCCATACTATTCTCAAAGCATTACAGCTCCAATTTGGATCCAGGATCTAAAGTCGGACTTTCACTCCTTGTCCCTAGTCATTCAATTTTGGCCTCTACGCTGAAAGCATCTGCAAGATAGGAAATTTATTCAATTTTTAGCCAAATTCCAGGAGTAGAACACTTGTATTATGCTTCCAAATTCTCACAAAGGAGATAAATATTATTTGCTGTGAACAACAAGCCATCTTTCCTGTTCCTGCATCACATAGGTTTCACATGGACAAAATGCATGAAACCACTTTTGGCTATTATTCAGATATATGACCTCTTTAAAGGTTTGTACATCACAAATGACAACGTTATAAATTATAATTCATTGTGAATTGCACTGTTAATACAAATTCCTAGCCATTGTTTGATCATGAAGGTTTGTTGATGTCAAGCCTGAGGCAAAAATTCTTATGTTTCAAATTCTGCTGGTAAAAATCTGTCGTTTTCAAAGGTAGGATTTTCAAAAGCTCTGGGTGTTAGCTGAATTTCAACAGTAACTTTCCGGAAAAGTAAGTTAGATCAGGGATGAATGCCTTACTTGTTTACCCCATGTAGAACTACATCTATGTTACTGTGCTAGCATTTTTATAAAGCAATTAATTAACTGAAATAGCTAGTACAGTCAGAAGAAAAAATAATTCAAAAAATACAAAGGATTTCATATTAATGCCTTTTAACATTAGCAAAAAGAGTGGCGGATGGATGAAAACCAAATTCTAGATCAAGCCAGTTTCTTCTCTGACCGCAGTTTATAGACCCTGCTAAGTCTTAAGTCCAAGCATTGACATTTTATGTATTACATGAGCTTGAATAAGTCACACTTTTCCGTGTGCTGAGCGTGTGTAATCTCAGGAACAGCTCAGCACCTAGAATCAATCAAAAATAGGATAAGAATATTTTCCTACTGTAGCAGAAATGGGGAGTGTTATGAGAACCAAGTAGTTACTGTGTTTTTCTATCTTTTTAAAGCCATAAGTGCCTAGAATTACTATAGATGTTTGCAGTTAGTTCTTCTGCACAGCTTGAAACTGCTTTTTGGTGACATTCTGTTTAATTTTCAGTCAAATCAGTCAATTTAATGAAGTAGTTTTTTTATACTACAAGCTGAGAATTTTTTCTATGACTGTCATAATGGCAATGAAATCAATGATGTTCTTTTGAAAGTGTTTGCAAGATCTGCATTTAATGGAAAAAATAAGAAAGGGAATTTAAAATCTTTGTTTAGAATAGTGATTTCAGTATATATTCCGCCATTAAATCTGAACATTCATCCTGTAAATACTAATCACCTTTCAGAAATAAAATAACGGATTATTCACAAATTAAAGGAAAAAAATTAGAGAATACTATAAATGCATATTGGTCTTTAGGTAATGTTTGAACAAAACTTACTTTGAACTTTTTTCTGAACTCTTTTTCTTCTCTTTCCATCTTTTTAAACTTTCGTGCACCTTTTTCATCTGGTTTACCTTTTCCAAGGCTCACTGGTTTTGATGAACTAAAACACAGGATTACAGATAGATAAAACAAAATTAGGAACATATATGAGGTATTGACAATCTTTCTGATAATTTCAGTGAAACTGCATTTCCTTTCATGTATATCTCCTTTTCTCCTTACAGAACTAAGATAATTATAATATAATAGAGACTTGATTTCAGAAGTCATAAACAGTTGGGATTTTTTTTCATACTTTCCTCTTTTCATGAGTTCTGATTTTAATATATCTGTTACATAAGTGAATATGGAAAATTATTCAAAGTATCTAGGTACTACAGCAATGAGAACTTTACAACTACCAAAAATGGATTTTATAAACAACACACATCATTTTAGAATTTCTAGGCAAAGGACAATTTTTCTGAAGCCTACATATTTTTGGGCAATAGGCTGAATATAACATGTCCCACTGTGGAGGCAGCTGCATTGTCTTAGCCTTTCATATAATAGCTGCCTTAACTCCTATGTGCATGTATAAGACCTTCCTACTCCAGGGAATCTGCACTGCAGGCACAAAACTAAGGATCCATTTTGAGCTCTACTGTTTTTTCCACGTCCATGCTGATTTGTGCCAATGGGCATGGCAGAGTTTCAATTTCTTAACTGACTTTCCTCATTCTGTACCAGGGAATTTAAGGTCTGACTCTCTGGTTTCCTGATTTGCCTAGGAGTTGCAGATGACAGTTTCACTGACAAAGAATGTATGTGTATGCCTGAAATAACCTAGATTAAGGTGGGCCGTATCCTTTCCATTGGATATACACACTCAAAAAGCTCTCTCTGTTTTGATGCCTCCAGACTAGGATATTATAGTGCACTCTTCGGAGCTCCACCTGAGTGGAGCCATCTCTGCAGTTAGATACTCATTTGCGCTCATAACACAGCTGTGCTGCCGAGGTGGTCGACTTCCTGCTCCGGGGATAAAAGTTTCTGAAGTTTAACTTTACAGTTCCAAATGTGTTTCATACTGATAACATAAGGCACTATCTCCTTTTCTCACTGGATACTGGAGCAGCTGAGACCAAATACAGCACTTATCCTAGCAGTCCTCAAATTTTGATAGGAAGAAGACTGCATGCAGAGCATTTCCAATGAAGGATCTTTAACTCATGCACTCATTTGCACCTCTTATCCATCAGTGGTTGAATTTGTTGAAATTCAAAGCATACCTATTTATGCTGCTGTCTAATACCATTATTGTTTCAATCGAAATGGAAGCACTGAACATTTATCTGTAATTGTCAAAAGTAGGGTTATGAGAACTACAAAACTTGACAACACCAAACAAAGCATACATTAGTAGCAATCTGCCTCTAGTAAATACTTTGAAAATGTGTCACAGTGGATTAAAGATTTGTAATCAGAGGAGTAATTCCCATTTTCACTTACTTGAGTCCAGCTGATGGAGGAGGGAAGTCTGAGGAATCTACATCATCATAAACATCACTGTCTCCACAATCTGAAACAACAATGTTCAAAACAATGGGAAATTATTATGCGATCCTTAAGTAGTGAATACATTGTGTTACAATCTACCATAGTATAGCCAAGTTGACAAGAAATTGCAGCAAGTATTGTAGCATTTATCATCTATAGTAGCTCAGCTTTCCCTTCTGCACAACGTATTGTGCACAACATACCAGTCGCCCTTTTCAGAACAAGATTCTTAATAAGAACAGGTATTCACTGATATTTTAATCTTCTTAAACTGAAGCAAGTTTTAGCACATACTGTAGCCTTTAATCTTTATTTTAATTAGGCTGTTTCCCACTGTGTTGTATCAAAGTATATTTTCAGGGTTTGATTTTAATGTGCACTCAAGCACTTCTGTAGCACTCTTGTCAACGTAAAGGTGCCTAGAAGTGGATATGAATCTCACATATGTTAGCTTTTAGGCCATGTTGGAATGCTAAAGCGGTGAAAAGGATTCTTACCCCAAGAATATACTTTGAATCACATCCAGCATGTTTGCAGAAAGGAAGCAGTTGCTGAACTCATCCAATCCATGGCTAAAAAAGTCGCAGTAGGAGATAAAAAATTAAGAATGCAGTTCGGGCAATGGCCTCAAGAAGTGTAAGAACTTGCTTTTTATTCCATGGCTGGATTGATATTTATAAGTATTTGTTATGTTACAAAGACACTGCTTTTTTAACACTGAAGTGTTAAAAATAACAATGAGTGTCCCTGTTTATTTTTAAAGTCTTGCATTAAGCGTTTCTTTCCAAGTGCATCTGCTCATAATGAATGTCAAATAAAATGTCTCTCACATACCAAAATCATAACTTCTTAAAAAATACTTAAAAAAATACTTTAAACTGCCTTCTAGAGAGCTTGCACTGTGTTTGTATCTCCCTGTCCGTAGCCAAATTAGCCACAATATTGGAAATTTGTTCACCAGAACAGGATAACCGACGGGAAACCATGTTTTCCTTCCTTGGGTGTAGTGTTTTTGTGAATAGCATGGTACAAAGTAGTACATACAGAAAAAAGAATCAGGAATCAGTATGGAGACAAAACAATGGACTCTTTATTACCTTTTCCAAACTGCTTTGTTGGAGAAGTCACACTGAAAAGAAAATGTTCATTAAATATTTATATCACATTAATAGGCTTTCACATGATCTAAATCATTTAAAAAACTTGCAACACAAGGCCGCTAAGTAATCTCTAGACATTGCGAAGCTCTGCTGACATTAGAAATACTCATGGACTAAACACATTTTTACCACTGAATCAGAGTAAACTAGTTCAGAACTCAATGAGAAAAGATGGTGGTAGAAACACCAGTTGCTGACCTAACATCGAGGCAAGATGGGGAGAAGACAATCTTTGCATTTTTCTCTTTGACACATTATTCCTACAATTTGGATTAGTGGGACTAGATTTACCACTTTATCCCAGCTACATTGTACTGGTGAGCAAAACACGTTTTAACTGAGGATACAGCAAACATATCACCAGGCTGGCACAAAGATGATGGACTTTTTCAGTGCTTTTCACACAAAAGAAATAGTTATATTTTAGTTACTGGGCTCATGCAACAGCTTGTTAACAGGGTCATTATAGTATGAAGATGAAAAGAAAGGAGATCAGTATTTTTGCAGAAAAGTATCACCCTGAGATGCAATTTGATGCATGATTTATTAGGTTGCTGTGAGAATATGTTAGTAGCATGTAATAGATGCTTTATTAGAATTAGTTATAGTGAACTGTGATTTCCTGGAAGACTCTTACAACGAATCTCCATTATCTTCTTCCCCATTGACTTTGGCTTTTTCTCGTACACTTTTCTTTTTATCATCTTTGACCTTTAGCCTCTTGAAAATTCCCCAGGACCAGATATCATTCTTATCTTCATCCTGTGATACAGACCTTTGGAGTATGCATGCAATTATCACAATGTAAAATGTAACATTATTTTTAAAAGGTCCAGTTCCAATTCTCTATTGAAGTACATAATTCTTATTAATGACAACAATATCTATCACAAGGTGAGTACATTTACTGTTTAAAACACTAAACTAGAAATATGTATTTTAGGTCATTTATAGACATGGAGATATATTTATAGGTATAGATATTCATCTAGCATTTTATTTTGTTATTTTAATTTCAGTGCTGACCTGTGCAGTTGGGGATTTGGGGATTTTCATGGTGGCAGCTACTTTTGCTGACATACCAAAATTAATTACAAAACAAAACTTCCCCAGAAAGACCAAGAAAATTTTTTCTTTCTTAGCTTCATGGATCCATCCTGACATATACCCATTTGTTGATCATCCCAATACTAGCTAATTATTATCCCAACTTTCAAAATACTAAAAGCCAAAATGATAACACTGTGATAAAGAAGCAAATGATTTAAATGATATAAAAACTTACCTAATACTAACATCTTCATCATCAATCCCATCATAAATTTCTTGATCAGAAGGAGGAGGCGGGAACATCACTTCAACAGACCAAACAATGAATTAATGCATTCAAATTTAACGCTGTTAGAATAGAGCATTAATTACTGGCCTTATAAGCGTGTCAGATATGCTTGCAATGTTGCTGCAATACCTTTGCAAATGGAGGCTTTCTGTAAACCGACATAGCCTATTTATTAAAAGAGCCATTTTCACTTACCAGCTGGGCACCTAGTCCACATCATTTATGTATCGTAGCGCCAAGGCGAGAATAATGAAAACAAATACATTTACATTGTATTTGAAATGCTAGACAGGGTTTTTTGGCCCGATTACTAAGATGACTGGTGACTTTTTAACTTTTGTGTTACTCTAGCGAAGATAGAAGATGCCAGACCAACATTCTCAGCAAGTGACATCTTGTGTTCATCCAGAGCAGCAACAGCAATGTTAAGCTCCTCATTTTGATCTCAATTTTGACATGTGGGCACTACCTCCTTCAGTGCAGGGTTACCTCACTTTCCATGCCCAGTTCTAGCCACTGGTCAGAATGCTCACTGCAATCTGTACTTAGCTGGCAGCAGCTTCTTTCTGCACTGCCAGGGGATTCTTCTCCCATGACTAGTATCTAAACTCTAAGCTGAGAAGATGAGCTGTGCTCTTATGATCAGCAGAGAATGCTACATAAAAATATGTACTACCAAAGGGGAAACTTGTTTTGAATGTGTATTTTTGACAGTGTGGAACTGCTGCAGTTATATGGGTTAGGACACTGAAGTATCACTGGAACTGGAGTATAATTGGCAATATTGCTGGCTATTTCCGAACTGACTTTCTCTTGCACAGAAACTCTTGGTCATGTTAATATTTTTTCAGTTATATCTATGCTGTTTTAGAGGATAATTTACCTTCTCAAAAAACAATATAAGGATCTGTAGTCTGCTGGCATGCTTCTGATTCACTTTGTCTCAAGATGAAACTTCTTTTTTACCCAAGTTTCAATAGGTGGAAAGAAACTGAATTTGGCCATTATACTTCCTTGTTTCTTGCCTGTTAGCTAACACTTAGCATGCTTATGGGTAATTACTTCATTATTTGGATGCTACAGAGGTCTGAATTTGAAGACAAGCAGTACATAGAAACAACTCCCCCCCAGAAGTATCTGCAGAACTTACTTTCAGTTCCACTTTGACCACCGCTCTGACTGAAAAGCAAAATGAGAGAGCTTTTAGGGAAAAATAGTCATTATTTGGAAAAAACAAAACATCGTGATCACCCATCGCTTTTGTGTTTATTAGTCGCTCTAAACCCTTTCGCTTCAGCACTCATTGTCTACATTGCCAGCTGAGCACTACAAATTCTGCACTGAAAGTTCAGGCACATGCTTGCACGTTGTAAATGGGCAATAACTAAGTAAGTGTGCCATTTCTTTTTTTCTGTCTTCACCATACTCCCACTGGTTTCTTACACTCAAATAATAGTTGCACTCTCAGTAATGCTAAAGAAAATGTATCTTCCAATTCATGAGTGAATTAGCTCTCAGATGAGGAGTCACTAATTTTAAATAGTTTCAAGTAAAGCAAGGAAAAAAATGGGATTTTTCTCATGGAAGCAATTCATTACAAAAGAGAAGAAAAAGTATTATAAAGTATCATCTACTTTAGATGAGGAATAAGAGAGAGCTATCTATAACCTCTTTAGTTAATGCAAAAAGGAAAGGGACACAGTATTTTGTAAGTAAAGCCCTGATGCAAATTCTCTATTTGCATAAATGAATGCAGATACATTGAAGGCAATAGAGCTGCACACTTTCATAAGAACAGAACATCTACTCCTAAATCTTTAAAATGTTGCTACGATTTCCAATGAAAAGCCATTTTCATTTGATTTCAAGGAGAAGCAAACTGATACAGCTATAAGAATTCACTATATTTAGAATATGTTTTTTGATCCTGCTGATATCTTTGGGCTCAAGTACAAAATACATCTTAGGATCATAGGATAATTCAGATTGGAAGGGATCTCAGGAGGTCATAGTCCAACTTTTTGGGAATAAAAATATCATAACCTGACTGAAAACTTGTCCAGTACATCTATCCCTTTCAGATTCATGAGCAGATTTTCACAGGACAAAAGGGTAAACAAATGAACTGAATGCTCAACTAGCTTTTACTGGATGATACTTTAAACTTCTAACTGCATGTTTCTAACATTTCAAGGGTTCCGTATTAGCCCAGTGTTCTAATAGTGATTAAAGAAAGTGATAGGTTCATAGTAACTGCAATTATTTTCAAATCTTAAACTTATTAAATCAAGATTTTTGTTAAACTTTTGTCCCAATAAATCCTGAAATAAAGCAGTTCTAGTCCCTTTTTAATTCTGGAACATTACCAACACTACTGATAATCAGATAATACTATCTGGTCAATAGGCTTTTTTAGTATGGCATTCTTATGCTGGTTTCAGAACATACTGATGTATGTGTCAGACCTTCCAACAATTCACACCGATGAGCTGAACAGAATGCTATTAATCACTAGATAAGACACAAATGTCAAAATACAACTTAAAGGAGATAATGAATTTGATCCATTCATTCATTCAGGTTCCTTATACTGTTACTTTAATATGCAACAGTTTAAGTATTTTTGTTTGCTTGAATTTAAGGAATTTTCTATGTTATTTGCATTGAGGTGGTTAATTATAATACTTGCCATAGTGAAAAAGATTGGCCAAAGACACTTTTGCAATGTAGTACCTGATGTTCAAGTTACCTACACCCTGAAACAGCTAATGTAACTTGTTCAATTCTCTGGCTAAGTTAGGATGATGAGATCAATGTGCGGTGAGGGAAATTGATTTTGTGCAACCTGCAAGAACATCACATGTGAAAACTATACTGGTTGCTTAAAGAATGCCAGCCTGAAGGCAAATCTTTCCAAGCACTGTTCCTGGCACTCATGGAGATGTTCTAGCGGCGAGGACCAGCTGCACCCAGCAGTCAGCCAGCTGTGGTCCCTTTATTCCAGCCAGGCCTCTAAGCAAAGGCACTGGGAAATATCTAAACACTGGTGCAATGGAAGAGTGCTGCAAGAGGGTTGTCTTACACATTCAAATCCTCCACATCCACAGGCAGGTATCTTATTTGAATCCCAGTGCATGTGATTCTGTACATCAGGATGGAGAATGAACACCCTTTTTTTGAATCAGGTGACAGAAGCAGGCTTTTATGTGAGGTCAGGTAACAGAGATACCACTGTCACATTGGCTCGATGTGATAGAATAGCCTCATATTACAAGAGCAGTAGGATATTTAGCTGCAAGAAAGCTTGGCACCCTGCTGGAGAGTGCAATTCCCCAGCTGCAGATCAGTTTGATCTGAAAAATATGGAACATTGAAGTAGAGAGGCTGCAACGTGGCACTGCATTGTAAATGCACGGGAGATTGTGCCACAGAAGAGAAGGTTCTGATACAGTCAAAGTATAGCTCATACCCATCTCATGGGAGTTGACTGGCCTTTTGTCAGAAACAACCACATTAGCCGTGGTCTTTCCCTGAGGGCCATTCTAGTCATGCCTTCAGAATTTCCTTCTCTTCAAACAGAAGAGGTAGTAAGACTCATAGTTCCAGAGCAGTGAGGATAATAGAGAGTTGCCTTGTGCAACGAGGGTTTCTTTTGCTTTTACAGTCTTTTATTCTTGCCTGTTAGAAAAGACACCATGTGACTTCAAGAGACAGAGAACAAGAAGAGAGATGGAGGGCAGAGAACTGCACACAGCTGTAAATCTTGCATGTTTTGCTTTTCATTCTCTTTTGGGTTGCAATACTACAGCTCCACTTCCAATAGTTCCTCCTATGTATAGGAGGAACCAATAGTTCCAATAGCTCCTCCTATATTCATTCCTCCTATGTATGAGCACTTACAGATGCTGGATTCCAGAGTCCATTCTTGTTTCTCTGACTACTTCAGCTTTAACAGATCAGTTATATGCTTCTTATATAAATGACTGCTTTTCTTCTGTGACAAGTTTGGTTGGTAGCTGTAAAACTTTCCCTGTGTAGGCTGAGCGTGGTAAATCATTAGTTCCCTTGAATGGGTTCTTTATACATACCTGCTAATACTGTCCTGCTCTCCAACATCATCATACACTTCTTGGTCACTGTCTGCACGTTTCATGGCAGCTCTGATGGCTGGTTGTTGCTTTCTTTTTAAAGAATCATAATCAATCTCCACCACAGTTGTTTTAACGTATCCATCTAAATGAACAAAACCATGTAATTAAGCAGAGCCGGTTTTAAAGCTCACTGTGAATGGATGAGTGTAACAGAAGGTTCAGAATCAAGATAATTGAATTGTTTCATATCTCTGAAAACTTTTAAAGAAGTATTTTATTCCAAGCAGCCTCACCTACAGTCTTCAACCGTCTACATGCATACAGATCTCGGATCTGTCTCCGATCTCCCCCCAAACTCTCCTCAGCTGGTATCAAGTTAACAGCACCTATATTTGCTTCTCAGCTACAGCAGAATTTAGTAGATTTTAATGATTTTCATTGATTTTATGGATCAGTCCTTTAATGTCTGCTATAACTCCATAGCCAGATCATCAGGCCCTTACCATACCCATAACAAACACTGATGTAATTTGTTCCAAGTAGAGAAATATCCTAGTTTTCAAGCCAAAATGAAAGTTAGACCTCAGTGAGAAAATCCTCAGTTGAGGGTTAGAATCTTTGCATAAGAACAGGAACAAGAGATGCTCTTAAAGCAAGACCTTATATTCTCTGGTTCCATGTTAGGTACATCTCTTTTATTTTATTTTCAAAACAAAGATATGAAAAAAGCCAACATCATTACTTGCACAGAGCTAAGTTCTGATGCCAAATCAAAGTCTGAAGGACACTGAATTACCTCCCAATAGGTCCATGAAGATCCCAGCATATTGTTCCTAACTTATTCTAGTGCCTCTAGATGTTACATTGTGTTGAACAATAACTTCCTACGATGAACTGAGCCCCACATGTCAGGTAAGCACAGCCGGGTGAGTTGTAATTATTTGCTGTGGTGGCCAGTGACTCAGCCTTGTTAATGCTACTCCTTGGTATAAAGCGGCATGCGCTTACACATTCGCTGTCATACAGTGAAAACGGTCAGGAGCACAGCGAAGAAGCAGAACTTACAAGATCCTTTTATCCTGCCCAGCCACTTCCCTTCTGGATTGTCTGTGAGGCGAATGATTTCAATCTGATCCCCCTGTTTGACAGTCAGCTCATTCTTTCCTCCCTTGTAGTCAATACAAGCTCGTGCCTGATGAAGGACTTGGATAGGTCCCATTAACTGCACAGAAGGAGCAACAAAATAAATCACAGATGTGGAAAAAAGGAATTCTTTCTCAAACATTCAGGCAAAAGATAAAATAACTGCAATGATGATTATTTGTTTCACTGGCAACACTCTAGGCAAAGAAACAGGCATCATCCCTATCCCCAACTACAAAATTTAAACTAATGAGCAAGGATGAAAAGAGAGGGCTACAGCATAGCAATAAAGCAGCTAAAGGAGTGATCGGCAAAATCACAGAAATATTAACACTAAAACCAACAGGTTAACCTGTGAAGTCTTTCCTCACAAAACACATGTATTTTTTCCAGTGTGCAGCTCCATGCAGTTTCAGCAGGATTACTCATATGAATAAGTGTTCATAAACATAAATAATTCTACCACATAATGTTCTGTGTTTATAATTCTGCTCTAGAAATGATCCCATAAGTACCCACAAGAGATGATCACACTGCTCACTAGAATTCAGGATTCTCAGTGAAATCTGTAGTATATGTTACGGAGAAACCCCTTTTGACTTTAAGGTCTGTGGCTTTAAGGTATATGTGGCCTTGTGGATGTGGCTGCGGACAATTATAGACTAGTTCAGGAATATCTATGCCTGTGTAGGTGGCAGCGGGGAAGAAAATGTGCACTTAAGTACATTTACTTGCATTTAAGAATAATATAATATTTTAATGTCCACAAGAGAGCAGTCTGCAGTCTGAAATTATGCAATGTGCTAATGCCTACACTTCACAGAACCGGTCTTTTCACACCTGGGAGAAGTCTCTAGCAAGGAGACTTGGGGCCAACACCCTGAAAAACGCCACCTAGACCATACCACTATTATTTACTATTAGTTTTTTTTTTTTATTATTTGCTCCTCAACTCATGTCAGTCTCTCCACAGTAGACCAAGTCTATGAAGTAGGAGAATTACTGTATACAGAGCATGATAGACAGGGAGAGAAACAAAGCCACCCACACTACACACAATGAAACTGAAAGGAGCCTAGCAGAGGCTTATGAACAGGCATTGGCTAATAGAAAATAATTGGCGGATTTGCAAACTGTAGGAGCATGCTGACAATTAACTACATAAAAAATGATACAAAACAGAAAGAACTGGCTTGTTATTTAGCCTCTATGCTTTGACAGTGACTATGACTCCCCTACATATGTGCTCTATTCTTTTCCTTCCCCTTTAGCCCCTTTAGGCTGGAGACCAAGGCAGCTAAGCAATGTATTGTTCTTTAATGTTGAGTTCTCTTGAGGGCTGCATCCTGTTGTATTTGGTTCTAGTTAAGCAAAACACACTAAGTACATGAGTTCCAATTCCCACTTTTGATGCTATTCTAGTGATGTAGAAGGGTTTAAATAGAAAATGAAAGGGACGCTTTTTACAACTTCTTTTACACAGAAAGAACATAAGGGCCTTTAACAGAAAACGTAATTTTTAAGCACTGAAATCTTTTTGCAATCAATACAGAGTCTGAAGTCAAGCATACACCAAAGATAAAAAGGATGAGATTAAACCTTTACTAAGAATTTATCCAGGTTCCTGAACTACCTGAAGCTGAAGACTGTATTCTAAATTGGACAAGGATAAATAATACTTCTCACCTATCCTTGCCTGGATTACAAAACAAAGAGCTTACTTTGAACTTCTTCCTGATTTCCTGTTCTTTCTTTTCTTTTTCCTTCAGTTCTTTCTTCTCTTGGTCTATTCTTTTCTTTTCTTCCTTGTCTCGCTTCTTCTCTTTTTCTGTTGATGTAGATCTAAAAACGCATTGCCAGGACTGAATATAGGGGTCAGTAGCAGTGAAACACCTCTCACTAGAGCTTCGTACCAAGGTCAACAAAGAACTATATGTGATGGGAAAAGATTTCTCCCAGTGATATCAAAGATAAGTATTTTATACCCCAATGTGGCCAGTTGGCAACAGAGGAAAGAGCCCCACATCCCCTTCTCTTAGTCTACATACGTAATTTAAATGGGCTATCCTCAAGATGACGGTATGCCAGAGGGTTCTCTGAAAGTAAGAGACTGGCTCTGCAAGTACATGTCCAAACACCTCTGAGCTAATTTTAGCAAACAACCTTGGAAAATGATAGCAGTCTAGGTGTTGCGGCACTGGCTGCAGGTGCTAAATATTTACTGGGGCCATCAGTGGTGACTGATGCAGCCTGAACTGAAGCCTGAGCAGCCACAAATGGACTGCTGTTTTAAACCTAACTGAAAGCTATTCCAGCTATGCTTATACAAGTGGCAGCCACTCTTCTGTACCACATCATTAATGTGCCTAACGTGCCTGCTGTGTCTCAGATACCGGGTGATACTGAGATGCAGGCCCTGGGATGTAATTAGGGCTATAGCTAAGCTATGCAGGTTGCTGCCAACAGTTTCTCTGGAAGAACGATGCTTTACGAACCCTATGGAACCGATCTGAGTATGGCTCCTTCCTCTTCCATTTTTGGTCCTTCTGCTAAACTGATACGCTCAAGTTCAAAAATTATAGTGAATGAGGTTTGCTTGTTTCAGTTGTTTCGTTTCTAAATTATCCATGTTCAGAGGGAATTCAACAATAAATTATTGTTGAAGGTCATTTTACATCAGAAACAAGGTATCATGGTGTAGGAATTTTAGATTATTTGTGCCAAAGGAATGAGTGCTTTGCTTTGTGTCTTGTCATACATGGAATCCCACACATTTAGATTTCAGCAGGTTGAGAGACTGAAAGTGGGGGGCTAAAGGCAAAAGACAGTGAGCAGGGCTCACATTTTGCCTCTGTATACATCCCAGGGGGCTCAGACCATGAGAAACGTAAATCCAGCAACTTTTAGGAGTTCTAAGTACATTTACCCGGAAAACAAGAGGAACAACCACAACTAAATAGTCTGTCTGGGGCTACAGTATCTAGGGGCTGAACTTCTTTTTCCTCACAGGCTGTAATTCCAAATAGTGATTCAGATATGTTCCTAAAATCAGAAGTCAGACTCTTCTGTTACCTAGATCACAGTAATTACATGATTTTATCACAAGAGGTTTTCCACCCCAGGGCATATCACATCTAAGTGGGAAATAACCTGTGAACAACCTGACTTTCTCTAGTTAAAATAGATGAACAAATTAATGCCTGGCAGGGACTTCAGTGGAATCAAACTTCTGTGTTAAATGAAGTGCCTTTGTTAGCAAGCCTTTGGTAATAATGATATAGCAGGCTATACCGTTTAAAATTACTACCTGATGTTATTTATGTCTTCATACATCTCTTCAGCACTTTCTTGGCCCTATAAGAAAAATGCAGTTTTCAATGGCCTAAATGCATTTGGAACGACATGAAGAAAATGGACCTGCTATGTAAACTTCACATAAACTATATAAAAACATTTACAGCAAAATGTAGATACAAATTCATTTAATCTTTCCAAAATCAAGTTTCTGCACTATTTAAACCCACTAAACGTCAGTTCTGACATTGTTTTTATCACACCACAAGTATAAATTTCCAGATTGTTACCATCACACTAGCAAAGTGTTTAATCCAAAGTGGATGTTTTGGCTGCAGTGTTAGTTCTGGAAAGACTGTATCTGCACTGATGATTGTACTGCAACAAAGAGATGACAGGGTTAGCAGTAGGCAAAATGGAATGCTAGGGATCTAAATGGGACTCAGATTTAGGGTCCCAAAGACTGTCTGAGCCCTCGTACAGGCAGGTACTTAAAGATACCAAGACAAACCTGTGCTTACTTGAAACCAGTGAATTATCACTGGAATAAAATAGGACCCTTGTTTCTGGAAAATTCTGGCGAAATAAAAGGTCAGTGGGAATAGAATGGCTTAAAATCAGTTTTTAGTGTCTAGCCAGCTTTAATAGCTAGTTCCAGTTTGCTGTGCTTACCCAGTTTTATTTTTGTCCTTCACAGTAAGTGCTTCTGCAATTTACTGGTAATATACTGGATTCATTCTGCAATGAATTTTCTAAACCATTGAAACGATTTTACTAAATTTGTAAATTTGTAAATTTGTACTAAAAATGATAAGTTCTTCAATTTATCACTTACCCCTTCTGTATTTCCATGACCTATGACCAAAAGTAAAAACAAGGTATTAATTTTTGCTATAGAGAAAACAATTAATTCTAGTGCTAACTATTTACAAAATGCTAATAACACAGGTGATATTAACTATCGCCTGTAATATATGCCGAGTCCTGCTTTAATGTGTCCATTTATACAAGGAAATAATTGTTAAAACCCTAGTAAATCATAGCAGACCACATAAAATTTGCTTGCATCAGACCCACAGTTGAATAAGGAGGCCAAGGGTGCATCTGCTAAGCCAGGCTCTACCCTGGACTGCAGAAGAGACTCTGTGAAGCTGCTGCTTCCTCCTCGCTCTGCAGGTAGTTGGGCTGGAAAAGAGCTTGGGCTCAGTTTCAGCTCCACAGCCCACGTTGCTGTACAGTGAGGATGGCTAGTACACTAAATGATGTATATTGTGCCTGGCACAGACTGATTCCTCCCTAGGAGAGATCAGAAGGCTGACTGAAATTCTTTGTGTCACAGTCTGCTTCTCTGGCTGCTCCTGGCACAACACAGCTACTCACTGCCTCTTATTCAAGGCAGATCACAAAGCGATGTTAAAAGCACAATCAACAAATTATTTTTTTATCAAGTACAAAAAAATGCCTGTTCCATCAGAGCACAGAACTTTTTAACTCTTAGCAGCATTCATTTTGAATCAGATTTGAAAATCTGGTAATTTAACGCATGCTGGTATATTTCCAACCAAAAGGGGGGGGGGAATAGAGAAGATACTTAAAGCACTTCCTGAGAGTCTGTCATATTAATTATAGAACAGTTAGTGTTATGAGACAACCTTCTTTACCCATGAGACTGCAGTACCAGCATAATTAGTTACACAAGTCACTTATGAATACAATATGCTTTTGCTTATCTTATAAATATGGTATGCTTACAGCTTTGTGTATCCATTGTTAATTAAAACGTACCCATCTTATTCTGGGAATCAAATTCAACATCATCGTAATTTTCTTCATTGTCTGGACTTCTGTAAATATGAAAAAGGGAACATGTGAAACCTGTGAAGATGGTTTCTATGATAGCGTTTCATTTACCACTGCTTTGGTGCTTTTTTCAGTTATTTTCGACAATGGCTGGGCAGTCTGTTGAGTTCTATATGCTATTTAAGTACTCTTGAGATTCTCTAAATTGTTCTTCCTGACAGTGACTTGATATTTTACACAGGGAAACTTTGATCCTGAGTATCAAAGAAGAAAACAAATAAGCCAAAGGTGCTCAGATACCATGGAGATGAGTGTGGTATGAAAAATACAATAGACAGATGGGCAGACTGAATGGAAAGAATCTGTTGGGCTTTTTAACCATCTTTGCAGGTGCAGGCTTCTTACACAATACATAAGCAGAACACCAGACTTTTGCACAATGTTATATATAATTAGAAGACTTGCTCCTTGACTTACACAGTGTAAAGTCTAAACAAGGGACAACAGAAACAATAGCAGAAGGTTAGGCTGGGTAGAAGGGCTCTGATGTTAGATTTAAAACTTCTTGAACTGAGAGGAGCAAGAAATTGAAAATTTAACTAAACATAAAATTATAGATTTTTAAATTTATAATAATTATAAGAAAACTAGGGCTGAAAGGCATTACCAAGGAAGTATAATCTAAGACAGGACTTGAAAGGGGAAAGCAATCTTTTTAAAAATTAAAAAAGCCCTGAAATAGAAAGGGAGAAAGAAAAGGTGTCAGCATCAAGGCACGCGTTGTCAGCAGAGGGAGAGGCCCAGAGGCCTCTTCTGTTGATGAAGCAACAGCGGAGCAAAACGGCAAGCTAGAGGTAAGTGCTGCACGTTCTTGAAGGCAAAGAGAGAAAGCCTGGGTCTTAAGCGTTTGGCAAGGTGCGTAGCCAGGGGCGCTTCTCCAGGCGCCGCGGGAGCTGCCTTACGTTACCTGCGCTCTGGCCACTAGATGGGGCAGTACCCGCAGTTTCCCAGGAGCCGCCCCCCGAGCTGGGGCGCGTAAGGCGCTTTCAGAGGGGCCGTTTCCTAGAGCTCGGACCACAGCAGCATGTTTAGACTGACGTTGTCACCTCATCACTACCAAAATACAGTATGTGTGGCCGCACAAAACTCTCTAATGTCTGAAATAGTCTCTCCGCAGTCTATATGCAGTGAGGGCACAGAAAGCTGCTCATTATTAAGGCTCAACTTGTTCCTGGTCACTTTTCACACTTGTCCTCCAGGCTTTTAACTCTTTGTTGCTGGAGAGTTTGCCTTTTGTGCACTGCTTTTTGAAGAAGGATAAAGAAAGGAGACCAACGAGGGCTGTAACAACGGCTTCAAATGTTATGGTAACAGGCCCCGACTCATCTCGGGGTGGTTTCACAACCAATGCCTTCCTTCCTCAGGCTTGCAAAGCTGTTTCCTGCATAGTGGGGTATCCACTGATAGACTTGACTCCCCTGCCGCCTTCTCCCAGAAAAGTGCTGGAAAGGTTCAGTTATTGCTACAACTGATTTTCAACACAGCTAGGAAGTCTTTGTACCCCTCTGGAGTATAAAAGCCAACAGAATCTACCTCCCCCCCTCCAAAATTAGTGCAGAGCAGAAGGACGTGTTCTCTTCCGTACTAGAGGTAAGAAGATTTAGGGCAACTATTAACTAGATGGAGGGTCCAATCTAATAAAAACTGATTCCAAACAGGCTAGGGCTGGTGTAGGATAAGCAAAGTGGTGTAAGAGCTGAACATAAGAAAACACGTCTTTACTGTGAGGATGATTGAACACTGAAAAATTGTCCAGAGAGGTTGTGGAGTCTCTGCCTTGGAGATACTCAAAAGCTGACTGGACACGGCCTTGGGACATGCTCTCGCTCACCCAGTTGAGCAGGGAGTTGGACTAGATGGTTTCCAGAGGTCCCTGCCAACCCCGACAGTTCTGTGATACTGTGATTCTGAGCTCATTCCCCCAAAAACCTGGGACGACAGTCTACCTGCTACTGCATGAGCAAAGAAATAGGCAGAAAAAAGTGAGAAAACAGGCTTGTAGATTTTTATGCTCACTTACGTTGTTTCAGAGCTGGGCTTGCTGTTTCTGGGAGGCAGGCTTGGGGCCGCTGGGGCCTGCAGTGATGGGTGAGAGGCTGGTGGAGGAGGTGGTAACTGCATGGTAGAGTGTGGCTGCGGTACAGGTGGAGAGAGTGCTGCTGAGGAAGGCACTAGCTGTTTAAATCCTTCTTTTCTTGGGCCTGAAAATAACAAAACAGATTAATTTGTCAAGTAAACAGCTCAAGGGCAGAAGATAAAAACTCCCTGTATACATGAACACTCTCCATAGCAAATATATGTTGTCGAATCTATTGCTTAGATATATTTAGTGCCTTAACTTAGCAATGTCAAGAGCCTCTGCCTAGAAGACCTTACTGCTTGTGGCAGGCCTTGAAATTGTCTTTGCCAATACATGAAAAAGACATAAAAACATCAGTTTATCCAGTGTATAAGCTCTCGTGGTTTAAAACTAAATTTCCATTTAATTCTGTAAATGTTTATAAAGACCAGCTGGAAAGTGTCACATGAGCACTGATACAGTCTTGCTGGAGTTACCCTTGGTCAGAGACAGAGTTTAAAGGGAAGGAATGAGAGATGAAAAGGTATTTGGCATTGACTTAGAGCTGTACAGGTCTCTGTACATTGTCAAATATTTTTGTCATGTAAGTTGGAAAAGACTGGACTCAATTTTCTAGACTAGCAACCCCATATTAGAGAAGTGGCTGTCTGAGAAGCTACACTCTCAACAAACAGGTGCAGCCTTAAAAACAAGATGATACAGTGCACCAGACACACAGAAGCCATAATTACATGTGTGGGCTGGTGTGCATGTGTACTTCACTGAATTCGTGCTCAGCGTATAAGCCACAGTGAAAACCATAGCAACGCTTACGTTCTGTTTCTCTGAGAGCTTGCATTCAGAGAAGTTATTCACATACCACTAAGTGAAATCAGTGCTTGGATGCACGGGTGTTAATCCTAGAATTCTGTTTTAAGTATCGCTAGTTGATTTCAAGCTACCTGGAAAGAATTCTCCCTAGCTGTTTGGTGGAAAGTCCAACAAAATCTAAGGGAGAGGAGGGGAGAGGAGTAAATGCACAGTTCAGTTAAACCAATAGTAGTCTGAAAGAACCCTGTTGTCTTCTGTAGATTTTTTTCAACTTCACACCTGCATAATGGAGATTACAATCTTGTCAAGCAAAATTCAACTTTACGCCATTAGAAAAAGTGGCTTAAACACAGAAGAAGAAAAAATATTTGGGAGTCTGAAATTCCATGGTACAAATTCCACTATAGCTTGTACTGTCATAACTTTTCAAAACAATGAAGAAACTTTAATTTGTCCACGATGCATGTACAAAAATGTTAGGAATCTTATCACCTGTCCCTTTTGGGATAATAACCATTGTTTTTATTTTAATGTCTAATGAACAAGAAACACAATGCAGGGCCAGAAGTTTCTCAGGGCCATGTCCAGTCAAGTTCTGAATATTTCCAGTGATGCAGATACTACAGCATCTCTGAGCAACGTGTCCCAGTGTTTGATCACCCTCATGGCACTTACTTTTTCCTTATCTCTAAGAATAGGAGTGTCAAACAACATACTCATACAGTGTATCAATCAGACCTACAAGGCCTAAAAACAGCAGCTGTCTGCTGCCATCCAGTTATTGAAAGTTCCCAACATCTATCTTTCATGCGCTCTCTATGCCCCTTACGCCAGTATCGAGGCAGCATAAAAGAGAAGAGGAGAGCAGGCTGGCTGATGTGCAGAAAAATAAAGAAGAAGAAAGCAAATTTTAACAGACATCAGAAAATTTTAACCCCCCAACAGACAGGAAGGGTTCAATGTGGGCATGAAGAAGCTAAAGGAGAAGTGATTTTTTGGGGTAGACAGGAAAGGGGAATCAATAACTATTGGAATGCATTTCTACCTGTCACACGGAAATCAAACCAAAATTCCCAAGTCTTGACATTTTTCTGCTTACTAACAGCTCTGAAGTCTGTGGATAAATTGGATTTCATGGCTGCCTGGAGTAACCTGTCAACATACATGTCAACAACAGTAAGTTTTAACCCTGGTAATCTACTTCATTACTTAAACAGCACGGTACTAGAATCCCAACCCTGCAGATTACACAGGTGAATTCATAGGTATTTTTGCTAAGGAACATTCGTTTTCCAAAATCAGACCCTTACAATTTAAGATAAGCCAAGATTCAATCTGCATGGTGTCACAGACTTTAAAGCCAAAGGTATCATTTTACTCAAAAGTATAATTCAAAAGCCATGTGAAATAATGCTTTCACTTAGTACTGAGACATGTACAGTAGGGATAATGTGTGCCAGCTGGAGAGAGCCCAAAGGAGAACAATCAGAATGATCAGAAGTCTCGAAAACCTTGTTTGATATCCTGGAGATATTGAACAAATTGTGATTGTTTAGGCAAAGAAGATAAAACTGAGGGAGAACAAAATATACACTTCATGGTTTCTGGTGAAGAAGAAAGCGATATATATTTTTTTCATGCCCACGGTGGAGAAAGGAAAAAGTAGGCAGTAATATGCGTTAGGAAGCGTTCTATAATTATGAGAGCAGCATTTCCAACACCTGAGGTCCATTTTGAACAAGTTGTAGAAACTTGTGGCAGAAATAAGCGCTAGTATAGTTGTTTTTACCCTGGGCATAGGGATGGACTAGATTACTTCTTTACATGCCTTCCAATGTCCTGTATTTTACAAGACATCACATTTAACACGCATGTTGAGCCCAATAGCTAAAGATCAACTAAGGCATAATTTTGACTAAAATTTGTCTTCTAGAAAGATATCCTACTTGTTGAGGAAAAAAAGGAGACTCTACCACTACAGTGTTTGTTTTATTAAGTAAGTTCCCTCACTGTGAAAATCTGCATCTTATTTTTTCCTTAGTCCTTTCTAAGGGTTCAGCTTCCGTTACTTTTATTTCTGACTTTGCTTACTAGAAAAGCCTTTCTATATCCACTGTTTTCTACCTATGAGATATTGATACCACTGAACTTAACTGATATCTCAAATTTCTTTTTGATAACTTTAAAAGACCGAACCTTTTAAGTCTCATTTTAAGGCATTTCTTTCCTCTCTCAACAAATCTGTAGCTATTTCTGTGCTCTATTCAGCTTTTCCAACCCTGTATAAAATCTGGCACTGGAATTCTATACAGCATGCACTTGTTTGGCACATGCAGTGATGAAAATTACAAGTTATTCTTCACCTGGCCATACCTCTACTGATTGCATCCAGGGGTTTCAGTATTTTCTCCAGCTGCTATCCTTCCTCCCTTTTTGGAAGTGCTGACAGATGAATATCAAGCTTAAGCTTGATAGCAAGCCATTAGCAAAAGGCTTTTGAAAAAAACTTTTTAACTGTTTCCTTAAGCTTCCTTAAGGATAAAGCTCCAAGAACTTAGAGATACAGGCTGGAAACCATCATGAATTAGATTCTTCCCTCACATCATTGCCCTGACTCAACTGCAGAGTTGTTTATCCAATGCCTGGATTTTTTCCAGAGCCGTTGTACTACCTCATTTTGCAGGTATGTCTTCCATTTCTTGATTTGATGTGAATATTGGCATTTGAGTAAAGACACACTTTGTTTGAAAAGCCAAGTTTACAAATCTCTCTATATCACTGCCTGTCCTCATTTAACTCCTCACAGTCTTTATTTCATCCACAGACTTTATCAGCAGTAATCTCCTATTGTTCCAAGGCCACTGATAACAACGATGAATTGCACTGAAGAACTAAGCATCTATATGTAGCTGAATTCTTTCAATCATCAGACTTATATTCTAAACAAAGAATGAAGCCAGAAACACTCTGTTTTCATAAAAGCAATGTTAATTGGTTTTAATTATACTCTCAATTTTTTATGTTTTAATAGTGAATCCTATGTCCGTTTTTCCATTGTCTATAGGAATACAGGGACGTTGTCAGTGTGCAGGGATGCAACCAGGAAGGCTAAGGCCCAGTTGGAATTAAATCTGGCAAGGGATGTCAAGGACAGCAAGAAGGGGTTCTTCAAATACATCAGTAGCAAAAGGAAGACTAGGGAAAACGTGGGCCCGCTGCTGAATGGGGCGGGTGCCCTGGTAACAAAGGAGATAGAGAAGGCAGAGTTATTGAATGCTGCCTTTGCTTCAGTCTTCACTGCTAAGGCCAGTCCTCAGGAATTCCAGACCTTGGAGACAAGCGAGGAAGGCTGGAGAAAGGAAGACTCTCCCTTGGTGGAGGAGGATCAGGTTAGAGATCTTTTGTCCAAACTTGCCATCCATAAATCCATGGGCCCTGATGGGATGCCCCCACGAGTGCTGAGGGAGCTGGCGGATGTTATCGCTAGGCCCCTCTCCATCATCTTTGAAAGGTCCTGGAGATCAGGAGAGGTGCCTGAGGACTGGAAGAAAGCCAGTGTCACCCCAGTCTTCAAAAAGGGCAAGAAGGAGGAGCCAGGAAACTCCCGGCCTGTCAGCCTCACCTCCATGCCTGGAAAGGTGATGGAACAGCTCCTCCTGGAGGTCATCACTAAGCATCTGGAGGACAAGCAGGTGATCAGGAGTAGTCAGCATGGAGTCACCAAAGGGAAATCATGCTTGACCAATCTGATAGCCTTCTATGATGGATGACTGGCTGGGGAGATGAGGGCAGAGCAGTGGATGTTGTCTACCTGGACTTCAGCAAGGCTTTGGACACTGTCTCCCATCACATCCTCCTAGGGAAACTCAGGAAGTGTGGGCTAGACGAATGGACAGTGAAGTGGATTGAGAACTGGCTGGATGGCCGAGCTCAGAGGGTTGTGGTGAATGGCGCAGAGTCAAGTTGGAGGCCTGTAGCTAGTGGTGTCCCCCAGGGGGCAGTCCTGGGCCCAGTCTTGTTCAATATATTCTTCGATGACCTGGAGGAAGGGACAGAGTGCACCCTCAGCAAGTTTGCTGATGATACTAAACTGGGGGGAGAGGCTAACACACCAGAAGACTGTGCTGCCATTCAGAGGGACCTGGACAGGCTGGAGAGCTGGGTGGAGAGGAACCTCATGAAGTACAACAAAGGCAAGTGCAAGGTCCTGCACCTAGGCAGGAATAACGCCATGCAGCAGTACAGGCTGGGGGTTGACCTGCTGGAAAGTAGCTCTGCCGAGAAGGACCTGGGAGTGCTGGTAGACAACAA